AAGCCATCTTGTTAATTCTGTAGCCCAAGTCATGTTTGTCAATAGTACACAACGAGAAAAATTCACATACCATGTTGGTGACAATGCAGTCATTTCATCTCGAGTATAACCTTGAAGCAATGGTGGGAGATGACAGGGTGTGTTTGGACAGCAGTAGTAGAGGTATCCAAGGTCACGGAACACACCCACAAGTCCTTGTGATGCAGGACACGGAGAGGAACGTAGAGCAATGGTGGGAGATGGCAGGGTGTGTTTGGACAGCAGTAGTAGAGGTATCGAAGGTCACGCAACACACCCACTAGTCCTTGTGATGCAGGACACGGAGAGGAACGTAGAAATAGAGGAAATAAGGAGGGGAGGAGAAGAAAGGTGCAAAGGAAGTGAGGATAGGAGGAGCGGGGTTACAGAAGAGAGGAAGAGCAGGGAGGCCATGATTTTCTCAAAATTTGATATCAATTCAACTACTACTTGATATAATAATAGATAGATATCCTAATATAGACACCAAAACCCTAAAATATAAAAAAGTAACAAACACATTGAAATCCCTAATTACTTCTAAATATTACAATAGCCTGAAAATAACTGTAGATTATAAATTAAGAAACATTAGAGCCACCAGCAGGGGTTGTGTCTAAGTGGTTGTTGGAAACACCCTTTTTCATTCGAACATGGTTTAAGTCTCAGTGAAAATGAAGTTGAAGGGTTCTTTTCTTTATGTCTCTTTTGGGTCTATCCTTATACGGTATGTTTATTATTCCAGCGTGTTTTATATATTCATTGAGCTTATAGGGTGTTTAGTGGACTCAAGAATTAATCAAGATGCACGTAAGCTGATCCAAACATCCCAATTATCATAAAAAAAAAAAACACTAGATGATCTATAATTTTGCTATAACAAAACCTTCCTTTCATTCTCCATCACTTGGTGGTGGCATGGGCAAGTCAAGAGAATTGTAAAGAAAGCTACTGCATTCTGAAGATGGCGAGGCTCTCGAAAATATAAGATGGCGAAGAGAGAAGCTGAGAAAGAACTTAGCGAAGGCTTACGGTAAATCCTTAAGCAACTCGCACCAAATTCTGGGCACACGGGAGGTGAGAGAGATGTGCAAGTTAGCATGACTAAAAGAAAAGAAGGGTAGAGATTTTAACCGAATAAGGTGCATTAGAGATAAAAATTAAGATGTTTTGACAGGAGACAATTAGGTCAAAGAGAGATGGTGAGGCTATTTGACCAGGTCATGAAAATGAATTTGGTGATCATAGGATTGCATTGGAAAACAATAACTTCAACTATCCTCGAAGAATTAAATCTTTTAATGTCAAAAAAGCTTTGAAGAACATGAAAATAAAGAACTTCTCATCTCCTTGAAGAGCATGTGGTATCCCTTTAACGGTTTGGAAATGCCTTGGGGAGGGTGGGGTGACTTGGCTAACCTAATTGTTCAGTGTATCGTGAACTCTTGGAAGATGCCAAATGAATGAAGAAGTACCTTGGTCCAACTCTTCGAGAACAGGAGGCATCTTTAGTTGGACAAACTTCTGGGCATTAAAGTCACACAAAGATACTATAGAAAATGGGTGGCATAACACTACATAAGTGTGTTGAGAACCAATTTGTTTTCGCATCCGGTAAATCAACAATGCAGTCAATCTTTGTATATATTGAGAATGATTAACAATGGAGTTCTTCTATATTTAAATTTTAGTTTAGTTAACAAAGGTTTTCATATTTCTTGCAGCCATTTCCTAATCAAGTATTATCATTACATGCCAGTATCCCGGATATATGCCATTCATTTTGAATTAAAAAATCGATCTTGTACATCTTGCCCGTTCGTCCCCAGTGAATGGTGGCAGATGAATGACTATTAGAGTTCAAATCTTATGGGATATTTTGTTCTTGTGGATAAGATATCCTAAGCATGCTACAACAAAAGTCCAACACGATAGGGGGCACTTGGCGAAATGGATACAATTAGGCAGTGTAGGATACTTATTAGAAAGGTCTTCCACTTGATGATCTACCCAATATTGGTGTTTCTGTTGCTGGTTATTAATGGATCAGATCAATAACCAAGATAAATTGTCATAGTCAAATAAACATTTGACAACTGAGGTTTTTATACGAGAGCCAGGCATCTTAAGGGTGCCTTCCATTATATTGGTCACCCGGCGATGACTGATGATTAAGGTTTTCATTCAAAAAAAAAGAGAGGAGGAACAACTTAAAAGTTTCTCAGGAAGTAAATCCATTCTGTGGAATCTGTTAGTTTGATGTAGTTTATGCTTATGACCAGCATAGAGAAGCCAAAAAACTAGAACTAAAATGTTGTTGTTAGGGGTTTATGAAGAGTTTTTAGATCAATACAAATGTTATATCTGCAAAAGAACTTAAATAGTTGAAACTGGAAGACATGCATTCTTTCATCTTAATCTGTAATCGTCTCCTATTTTATCTAGAAAATATCAGGTACTTGTGTCTTGTGCTCTGATTCATTGTTATAAATATCGTATTGCCAGGTAACATAATCGCCCTGCTACATTCTTTCTTTAGCAACCTCCCACGGGAATGGCTAGAAAGAACACAGGCTATCATTAAACATCTCAGGCCGCTAACATCAGTTGCAATGTTGAGGATAGCATTCCGTATAATGAATCCATTGCTCCCAAGACTTGCTAATGCTCACACGCTCTTCAATAAGGTATAAAAGCTACTCATTAGTTTCTATCTCCTCTTAAATGTTCACTAGGTGTGATTGTGATTATGACATGTCCATGGCCAACTCGTTGTGCCTTGTTTACTCTGTAATGAACTATCCGACCATGCTTGTACCATGAATTTCTTGAGTTGTTAAATCTAAAAAATTTGTAACTAGGTAAATAAGCTGAAAAATGCTGGAGCTTAAGTTTTTCTGGTGCTATCTTTATCACTAAAGTCATCATACCTTGTGATGGAGGACAACTTAGGATTAATTTCCACAAAAGATTAATGTGAGCTAGGGTTAGTGCTTGTTAGATTAGGTTTGTGTTGTATTTGCTTAGACAAAATAGGATGGAATAGAACTGTTAACAGTAACTCCCATACAGTAGCTGCCGACCTTCAAGGCAAGGAAGAATAATTAGGGAAAAATAGAATAAGAGTTGGAATCTAGGCTCCTCAGCTTCAAAAAATCTTTTAACTCAATTTTATTTCATAATTCACCTCTAAGGTAAACAGCGTGATTCTGTAATTCTTTTCGGTCTATTAATATGATTTCTTTATCTGAAAAAAGGAACAGCAAAATAGACGCATAAGTAATCCTTACTTGACTGAGTAAGCATTATAATAGGAATATATATATATATATACTATTAAAGATTGAGACACCAAATTCCTACGCAAGGCTAGGAACTTCTAGTAAATCAAAATTTCAAATATCCTTGTTGGAATATGCAGAACTTACAGTTCTGCCCCTGCTTAAAAAAATTACCCTTAACTTGGAACATTAAACCCCATACCAAGAAATCTACACTTCTTGATTGATTATTAAGCAATTGATCGAGCCTTGGGTTTGAGGTTCTTTCTTTATTTTGAAAAAATAGCCACCCCATCGCCTTATGTGATGTAGAATGATACGAGACGCACCTTGAATTTGTTGATTCGACTTTCTCCATGAAGTGACTGGATAAATTAAACAGGAAATGAAAAAAAAATGAAAAAGAAGGGGAGAGGAGAGAGGGATAGGAAAACCATGATGGTTGCCAAGGTATTGGGCTGATAAGCCTTGACCAGTGCTGTTTTTCCTCTTAATTTAGCAAAACTGGTCTTAAGTTTTTAGGTAGAAAGTAGGTGGTGATGTAAATTTGAATCAGATGGTAGCAAGTAGAAGATGCCTATAGACAACAGAGGATGAATAGAGGAAGGACAGGTGAGATGAAGAGAAATGTTAGGAAAATGACTTTCTGTGTGGAACAACCTTTACAAACTCCCCAAGTCTGGTGAAAACACTATACCCCAATTTAAGAACAGGGTCTATTGTATCAGGTGCATCATTCTCTTTCACGTAATATGCTTTATCTGATTTGGTCTACACAAGGGTGGTTGTTTTTGGGAAGTGGGGATAAAGACTAGAAACTATTGATTTACATGACTGCTTTGGATAATCATGTATAAAATTGTTAGGTCTTAAAGAATTTGAGAGCAGTGACCAGCGCACAAACACAGGAATCCATGTGATTTTGTCTTAGGGCTTGCATCGATGAAAATGATGAAATCTTGTTATATTACAAAGGGGGAAGATCAAATGCAATAATTGTCACCTGAATCTGGTGAACCCCATGTGCGAAAAGACAAGAAAAAACACATTATTAACTGAAAGGGAGTAGTCCCAGCTGCTAATCAAATTATCACTGTAGGCATCATGCAATATCATGAAGTAAGTCAGATAAAGGAATTGAAGGCACGGCATTGCAGTCTTTTGTCAATGATGATGATTTTAAGAATCTTGGACTTTTATTTTCTATATGGTGCTTGAGGTCTGAGTGGAACTTTTGATGGTTTCATTTATCTCATACATGGGTGGCGCCCCTTTGTTGCCTTCCAGCGGGGAAGGCAAGAACCATGATGGTCACACACAAATTTGACCATAAGAACCTTGTCTTTTTTTCAAATTATTTTCGTTGTTCTGCCAAGTCAATTAACAGTTTTTAAATCCTTGTTTTTTTTTGTTTTTTTTATTAATATCGATATTTAAGTTAATTTGCGTGTATTTTTATTAATACGATGAATCTTAAAATTAATTATTATAATCAAACTCAAATTAGTGATTTTAACAAACTTAAACTAGTGACTTTTTAAAAATAAATTTAAAACCTAACAAGTGACAGTTTCTAAGTCCTTGTTTCACCAGGAGGACATTGCCTTTCGAATATTCTCTTACTGGTTTGGGTTCCCAGTTCCCTTTTATGTTTGATTTTTCTCGACCATCTTTTTTCAGACCCTCTCGTTCTTCTTAAATACAATGGTTGATGTTTTTGCGAGGAGTTCACAGACATCAACTGCTGTTGAAGCATCAGAAATTGCAGATCTCATTGACTTTCTGTGAGTACAAATTTCTTTGAACTTTCTTTTATATGCTTTGAAATTCTATATGTTTAAAGAACTTACTTCAACAAAACTCGTGTGTGTCAGCCATCACGTTGTCCATTATGAAGGGCAGGGAGGTCCTGTCCAGCCTAACAGCAAGCCTAAATCAAATGTTCTTGCCCTTTGTGGGAGGGCAGCAGAAATTCTACGTCTAGATTTACAGCATCCTCTTTCCCACTCGAAACCTGACACGAATTCTTCCATATATGCTCCCACTCATCCAAAGCTGGTCCAGGATCCCCCATGACCTTTAGGTTTAAGCATTCTTCACGAGCCGATCATGAGATGGCTATAGTACCCTCCTAATTGAACTAGCTTTATATCCTCTGGGTTCTTCATGCAGCAGATTTTGCTGCACTATGTTGCTTTGGAATAAGAGAGATAAAATGAGTGAATGAAGAAAATCACAAGGTGCTTGACAGCTTCCAAACCCGACAGCGACGGAGAAGACATCCCAGTTTGAAGGGCACTGCCCTGCGCCGATTTCCTTTTGGTTCAGGAAAGCCTCCTCCTGTATCCATGCCAGTAAAAGAACCATGATCCCTTATCAGCCATAGAGGAGATACTGTACATTATTGTAAACTATTGCCAAGCCGGTTGCATCCAGGATACCTGAAGGCCAAGAAATGTCAGCAGAGAGTTGTTAACTTATGAATATCTGAATTTTGTAAAGCTATGAAATTTTATAAAACTACCTCAGCCCAACTAATTGTTTAACTTAAGAAAGTGGTAAAGCTGTGAAATTTTAATCATTGCACGGGACAGGAGCGTCAACTTGTATCTGAGTCCGGTAAGGTTTGAGGGTGTCTCAAAGGGACTCCAAAACTTTGTTGTCTATCAATTAACCCCCCTGAGGTTTTGATACATTTTCAATTTCCCCCTTTATCTGTCTAGTACAACTGAGAAATTACACAATCGATACTTAGGGTCTCGTGTATCAAGCGTAAAATAATTTATTGTGGAGTTTATTGCTTTCAAAAGAAAGAATAAGATTTTATAAAAGCACAATAGCCAATCAATACTACTGTTATTACATCTTACAGCACCAGTTAAAACACGGCAAAACTAACATGTATAATGCTTGGTAATTGACTCTTGTGTTTTTGATAATTTACATCATAATGAACTGCTTTGTTTCTTGTTAAAGGCATGTTATTAAAAAATAAAGTTCTTTCTTTTTAAAATATATGGGAGCTGTTCAAATATAGTAACAATTTGATATTTTTAAGTGTCATAAATATCTTTTTCATATATATATATATGAAGATTTTAATTTATATCTTTTCATATATGTATATAAAACCACAACAAAATAATATGCCAAAAAGAAAATTAAAATCAAAACACAAAATTAATGAGAACCATTCAAGTTTCAGAAAGGACAGCCACTCATAATTTGGTATGATCTCATCCCTTTGTTTGAGCACGTGATTTGTGTGCACGCCACAACTGGAATTGGAATTATTCCACATGTCGGCCACATTGCTTTCACTTCTTCCTCTATCCTTTTTTTTTTTTTTTGCCTGAAGCAAGAATCTAGAACTGGCCTTATTGTTAATTTATAAAGAAATACCATGAATATAACATTGGAAACGTACGTTGCAATTAATATTTTGTATTATAAAACATGATATAGATATCTTGTATTCATAACACTATGATACTTTACATAAATAATTTTCTTTAAAATAAGAAATTAGAAATTAGAACCGTGCAAAACCCATATATGTACATCTATTTAACTTTTAACTGTAAAAGCCATTAGTAGGCTTAATAAATAAGATATTTTCTATCTTTAAATTATAAGACATGAATTTAGAGGTTTTTTCTCACTTTGCTTGAAGTTACCATAACTTCAATAAAAATAAATTATTTCATTTTAAAAAAAATCAAAATAAATAAAAAGACTCTTAACTTTGTACCATGGTTGTTGCAACTCTATCTAATTAGCTGTATGTGTGAAAAATATTCGGTAACATTTTTATGCTAATATGACTTAAAATCCTCAATATATAGCTTCTAACTTTTGAATTCTGAATAACCTTTTTTTAAAAAAAAATAATAATAATAATGCTTCATCACGTCTGCCATCGACTTTTATGAAAAAACCTCCCAAAAGCTCTAACGAAGCCCAAAAGCCCTTTTTCCAAAATCTAGCCGAAAGCAATTTCAAAAGGCCGTGAAAGCTAACACCCTTGTCAAACCGAACCTAAGTTTACTTAACTAAGAATACTCGAGAGACAAATCTAATCCATATGGCCCACCACGTACCTAGCACAGGACCAGAAAATTTGGTCCGGGCAACCATAAAACCTTGGAAGTTGAAATGAATTCTTTCTTATTCATGATGAAGCATCAGTAAAAAGAACAAATATAGAGCAGCCCCATTTATATTTTTTTATTCACCATTGTACTGTGTTGATTTTTTTCTTTCGCGTGAAGTTTTGCTTGTCATTAAATCAGGGGTATTTCTTTTATTCTATATCTTTGATGTTATAGATTTGTTTGAGAGTATTTTTATTGATTTAATGTATTTATAAAAAATAAATAATTAAAATACCTCAAAGTATTAAAAAAGCAAAGGATTATAAGAGTATTTTGATAATTATATTTTTTTATACATGGTAGAATTATACATGTATTCTTAGATTCAAGAAATTCAATTTATTAGCCAACATGCCCAATAGTTTTAGATGCTAAAAAATAAGCTTTCATCGTCTTATATTATTCCTTGCTATCTCCTTTTCCATTTAGAGTTACACGTGGTGTGTATGCGTTGTCAATTTATTGTTGGTGATCTTTTCTTCTTCTTTTTTTATTTCTCACTCGTAACTCGATAAATACACTATAATCCTTGTTGTTATTGGTATTTATATTCGGTCCTTTTAGTTTTGATTTATGTATTTTTCTTCATTTAACCTTTTGTTAAAATTTCATTGTTTTTCAATTTAACCCTTGCTTGTAATTTGTTTAGATAATGTTTTTCAATTCAGTCCTTCTACTTTTAATTTTTTTTCCTTTGTCCTAGCTTTCAATTTTATCCTTTCTAATTTTTGTTTCTTCAACAATAATAATGATTCTAATTTGATCTCTTTTTTTTATTTTTTATTGTTTTTCTTTGCCCTTTTATCAAAGCTTTTATAGTTTTCAATTATATGTTTCTAATCAAGTTCACGACTTATTTTTTCAATAACAACAATATAATAATAATAATAATAATAATCAAATTAGTAACGATGATGACAACAATAATAATAATAATAAATTAAAAAATCAGTGATAATGGTAAAAATAATAATAGTTGTGATGGTGGTAGCGGCGGCGGCGGTGGCATTTATATCATTGCTATTACTAATAGCGGTAGTAATTGTAATAACAATAGTAACGATATTAATAATTATGGTGATGGTGGTAGTGATAGTGATGGTATTAATAACTGTGATAATAATATTGATGATAGCAATAATAGTAGCGGCAACAATAGTAATAGTGACAACGACGACGATACTTACAATAATACCAATAACGATGATAATTGTCATAATAGTAGTTGTAATAATAATTTGTTGCGGTGATAATAATTATGATGGTAATAATAACTATAATGACAATGGTAATAATAAGAAAAAATGATGATTATGATTTTAGCAGTGGTAATAATAGTAGTAGCAACAGTAATAGTGGTAAGAATAATAATAATGATAACACTAATAATAACAATAACAATAATCATGATGATGATGTCTCATGGGAAATAGTTGTATTGGAAAAGTGGTCTCTTCCAAAATACTGTTTCATTTTGTGGTTGGCTGTTGGGATTGCATGCCTCCTATTAATGGCCCTTGTGCGTTTTAGTAGTTGTTGGTGGTTCTCTTATATTTCAGTTGCAAATTGCATCAATTGTTGGTTTTTCTTTTGGGTTAAATTCTTTTTGGTTGGTTATCTTTAGCACTTGTTGGATCTTGGGTTCCTTAACTAACTAATGTGATACTTTTGATTTTCTCTCTGGGTTGTTGTCTTCCTGTATTTTTTTATGAATGTGAGCATGTTTTGTTTTGCTTTTGATTTTGTATGTGTGTATATATAACTTGCCAGCTTTTTGACCTGTTTTATTTTGATCTATTATATTCTTATATTTGACAAAAAAAAAAAAATCGTGATGACGACAATGATAATGACAACAACAAAAACAATATACAAGGAAGAAGAAGAAGAAGAAGAATAGTGATGATAATAAAAACATTAATAATAGTAGTGGCGATAACAATGATAGTGACAATAATAATAACACTGATGATAATGATTATAATGATAATTGTTGTTAAGATAGTAATAATACTAATACAACTACTACTATTATTATTAAAGATGATAATAATAATAACAACTTGTTTTAGGGGGATTTTTTTAATTTTCACATTGTTTTTTTCTTTGTGTGTTGTAAGCATATTAATACAAGGGTAAAATATTATTTTACATTAATTAAAAATTATTAAATTTTAAAAGATGTAAAGTGTGTACAAGTGACGTGGAAACTCGTGAAAGGATCTTGTCATGCTTAGACAACGTGTGTGAAATCCTATGGTAGTAAAAAATTATCTTTCACCCTGATATTAGATTTCCTATGATGTACTTTTTCTCTAACAGTGACACGTTTTTTTAAGATAAATTATCATCATATATGTTTTTTTTTTTTATCTTTTTTTTCCTCTCCCTTCTCCAAATTCACGCCCGACAAATGTAATTTCAGGGCAATCCCTTTAGTTGGGATATTTAAATATCAATTCTTATTTTTTTTTATTTGTTATTTTTCTCATTGATTCTTTTGTAAGTTTTTGTTTTTGTTTTTTTTTAATTTTATCTTTTAATCTAGACTTTTTTTTTCAGGTTTGTTTTTAGTTCTTTTTTGTCCTTCATTTTTCTCTTATCACTTTTATAAACTTTCAATTATTTTCAATTTCATTATTTAATCAAAATATTTAGTTTGTTGATTTTTTTTAAAAAACTTGATCCTCATTTTTTAGGTGTTTTCTTCTTTTATTTCTTTTGTAAAAATATTTTTTCTTTTCAATTTAGCCCTTTAATTCAAATTATCCACCCTCTCACTGGTTTTTTTCTTCAAATTTGATCCTCAAACATGCTATTTTATACTTTTTTGGGACTAAATGTTTTTTTTTAATTTTATCATTTGATATTTTTTAAAAAAAAGTTTAAGATTCATGGTTTTTTTAGATTTGATACTTCTAATTAAATAACTTATAT